GGACTTCATAAAGGTGAATTGTAAAAGACGATAATTAACAAGTTTAAATTGGTCTTGATGCTAACGTAAAAAACTTGAACCTTAAGCCCAGTTAAATTGGCATGGTCCTTAGGTTCTCCCAGAACCCATCACTTATGTAGATAGGTACTAGGTCATCAGCCTTTTTGAAACTCAGTTGTATTTCTCTTCTGCTTTACAGCCTTCATATTCCTATAGATTTTATCTTGATCCCTGACCTCCTGAGTAAAAGACATTTCCAGTTTGACCCTGAGATTTTTCTGAATTTTTAACTGCCCTAGACGGTCTTTATGGCTTTAGAACTCCTCGGTATGAACACAGTAAGAACAAATTGACCAGATTTCATCTTTCTCTGGAAGCTGTATTCCTTACCTCAGTTCCTATCAACACGAGAAGCTGCCTATTTCTTAGAACTTGAAAGCTATCATCCCTTTTGGACTAACCACAAAATCTCCTATTTCCTATCTGAGCAGTGTCTCAACTATAACCCATCTCCTGAAATAACGTCATTGATCTCAAATTCTCTCTCTCGTTAAGCAGTTCCTAGTTTAGGTTACCCTACCTTACTTTCCCTAGTTTTTCTTGCAGGCTTATGGCTACATTATCTTATTTATACTTAAAATATTCTAAATATGAAAGTTATATACTGCGTTTATCACAGAAGCAAGAATAGGGCAACAAAAGGAAATAGTTACCAAGGAGGAAATAGAATAACTATAAAAGCAGACACAAAAACTCAATATAGCAGTCAGGGTTATTTAGAAACCTCTGTAGAATAAAATAGGTTTGAGAACCTTAGTCCCAAGTATATCGTGTCTTACAATATTACAGTAACTGATATAAATAAAGCCTTTAAGTAAGTGGTTCTTAACCAGAAAGGTACATCATAATCAACTTAAAAAAATATATATATATGTACATGTATATATGTACATATATATGATATATATATCATTAAAGAAGACAGGAGACGAATTATTTTTGAGGTAGAACTCAGGACACACATATCTTAGTAAATTTTGTTAGTAAGTCTCATAAATATTCTTGACTTAGAACCATTGTTCTGATATAGCAAGAAAAGATGAAATTATATTCAGTATGTGCTGCTTAAGACTGCAGGGATATTTATATAATCAATGTAATTCCAGTCATTAAGGAAAGAAGAAAAAAACTGGAAAAATGAGCAAAAGATAAGCAAAAAATAGATGAAAGAGGAAATACAACTGACTATTATTAACCTTGTGAAAATATATTCAACCTCAGTACTAGGCAAAGAAATATATTTTTTCCTAACCAGATCACCAAAAATGAAAAGATTGATAATCCTTAATTTGGTCTGTTTTTGTAGAAAGAGGCACTCAAGTTCGTTGCTGGTAGGAGTATGAGTTAGTACAAATCTGGAGGGCAGTTTGGCAATATGTATCAGAGTTTTAAATGTTTTTATTATCTGACCAGTAATTTTATCCTAGGAATTTATTCTAAAAAAATTGGAAAATATCAGATTGCAGAACATTTACAATGTGACCTATATGGTTAGATCAGCATTAAAAAAAAAAAGCCTGAAAGGTTATATATAGTATAACAAAATTACACCAGTAGTTATAGCTGAAAGTACTACAGATAATTTTTTTTTAATAATGTCAGTATTTTTGTGTCCTTGTGGGTGGCTTTGGTACACAGGAGAGATTATGCAGAAATTCTTTTGCCTTTAAAAATTTAAATCTCCCTGGGGTTGAAGAGAAACACTAGGGAGATGGTTACCTTCTGGGCTGACTAAAGTTGATTTATGGATTTCAGTCAGTGGTGAGATCTGAAGCTCCTGATTTTTCTCATTGCCCTGATGACCAGGCTGAGCCCCTTTAAACAGTTACTAAAATTTTAAACAGGAATCTTATTATCCACTCAGGGAAGTCTATAGTCCCCATAAGATTGTAACCAATTACCTTAACGACTTTGTTGGTTTTCTAATTCTTTTTCCTTTTAAGATATTTAAATGTTTTCCTGTTTGGCTCTAAAGATACTTGAAGGCTATTGAATTCTTTATACTCTTAGGGAATTCTTTACACACTTAGGTAATTCTGTGGTAGACTCTTTGAATTTGATGGAATCTGATATTCCACATTCTTTTCTTCCCCCCAGCTTTATTGAAGTATAATTAACAAATAAAATTGTATATATCTAAAGTATACAATGTGATAGTTTGATGTATACATTGTGAAATATTTACCACAATTAAGTTAATTAACACATCCATCACCTCACGTAGTTACCTTGTGTGTGTGTGTGGTGAGAATGCTTAAGATATACTCTTTTAGCAAATTTCAAGTGTACAATACAGTGTTATTGACTATAGTCACCATGCTGTACATTAGATCCTCAGAACTTACCTTAAAACTGACAGTTTGTACTCTTTGGCTAATATCTCCCAATTTTCCTTATCTATAGTCTGTCTACTCTTGTAGATAGCATATTAGCTTATGGTTAAATTCTGGCTATTTCTCAAGTTTTATATAGCTCTGGGTCACAACTTTTTAGGTCATTCTAATGATAGTTTTTACTTTCTATTTTTTTTTCCAGTTTTTTGCTGCATTTTAAATATTAAAGAGCATATATATATTTTATAAGGAGGACTAAAGCTGTTTTGATTTTGGGGGGAAACGATAGGGAAACTCAAGAATCAATTGAAGAACTATTCAAATCTATAAAAACAACTTTACTGTTAAGTAGCGGATACAAGATAAATGTTTAAGTATCGGTAGCTTTTCTGCAGGCCTTATATGAAGAAAACTTAACAAAAGACTTAAACCAAGAGGTTTTTTTCCATGTGACTGTGTATGAAACAGGTAGTATCCACTATAAGTTTTTCCCAGCCTCATTTACAGGTTTACTATCAGTCAAAATCGCAGTAGGAGTTTTCTTTTTGGAAGAATGGGAAAGAGAGAGTGGGAGATATCTTGAAAAAATGATTCTGTAGCTTATTTTGAATAGTCAAGACGTTTTTGAAAAAGTAATGAGCAAGTACTTATCAATATGAGCAAAGACTGGAATGCTACTATAATAAGATTTGGTTTTGATAGACCAATGGACTAGAAACAGATCCTGATATATGTAAGAATTTGATGGTTTCATAAATCAAATTAGAAAAGGAAGGATCATTCAATAAATGGCATTAGAATAATTGGTTAACCACTTGGAAGAAATGAAGTTAAAATTTCCCCTCAAACCTATACTAAAATAAATTCTGGATGGGTTAAAGTTAATTATGAAATAGAAGCCATAAGAAGCTAGGAGAAATGTAGGTAAATATTTAATGACCTAGGGGAAAAAGTTTATAAGTACAGAAACAAGTGAAAGAAATCGCACGGAAAAAGGTGGATCATTCTTAACACAGAAGAGTTGAGGGGCCGGCCTGGTGGCGCAAGCGGTTAAGTGCGCACACTCTGCTGTGGCGTCCCAGGGTTTGCTGGTTCGGATCCTGGGTGTGCACTGACACACTGCTTGTCGAGCCATGCTGTGGTGGCGTCCCATATAAAGTAGAGGAAGATGGGCACGGATGTTAGCTCAGGGCCAGTCTTCCTCAGCAAAAAAAGAGGAGGATTGGCATCAAATGTTAGCTCAGGGCTGGTCTTCCTCACCAAAAAAAAAAAAAGAGAGAGAGTTGAAAACTTCTACAGTAAAAGCTACCACAAATATAATTAACAGATAAATGGAAAAAGTAGAAAACTCTTTCCAACAAATGTGACAAAGTATAGACACACATGCACACATCTACCTGTTGAGGGGCAGGGAAGAGACAACTTGTGGTTCTTAACCATTTTGGGATAACCCTCTCCAGAAAAATGCACATTCTATGTATCCACACTAACAGGCACCACACACATACACATGCCCACAACTTTCAGAATAATTTCAGGAGACTTACATGTTCATAAGAGTTTTATGGACCACAAAAGAAGTGCTTGGTAAATATGAATAAACTTCAACCTCCCTATTAAAGAATTTGAAGATTTAAAAAAAAACAGTAATGTTGAATATTGATGAAAATATTGCTAATAGGATGTAAATTAGTAAAACCTCCCCGGAAAGTTGTTTGGCTTTTAAAATGTCAGAATCTTATTTAAAAATTCTGTTTCTAGGAATTATTTTAAGAAAACATCCGAATTTTGTGCAAATTTTTGTGCAGTGATGATTATGTACTGAAATGCTTTTTACTACTTAGAAAAAAATTGGAAGCAACCTGAATGCTCAACTTCGGTGTAATGGTTATTATAAGTTATAGTTTAGCCATGTAATAGAATATCATGGTGCCATTATATATAATGTTTTTAAAGACTATTTAGGTGATGTGGGAAAACAATTAAATGAAAAAAGGAAATGCCATAAGATGTTTAAAAAAAAGTTGTTTCTAGGTGATGGGACTGTTGGTGGTTTTAAATTTCTTTATTCATTTCTATATTCCTCCTCTCATTTATTTTTATAGTGAGTATGTATTAGTTTTATAATTAACACTTTTGGAAAGATGTTATTCTATTCTGTTGTATAATTTTTAAAGAGTTTTACTTAGGGACTTGCCTGGTGGTGCAAGCAGTTAAGTGCGCACGCTCTGCTTCAGTGGCCCAAGGTTGGCAGGTTTGGATTCCAGGCATGCACCGACGCACTGCTTGTCAAGCCATGCTGTGGTGGCATCCCATATAAAGTAGAGGAAGATGGGCACGGATGTTAGCCCAGGGCCAGTCTTCCTCAGCAAAAAAAGAGGAGGGTTGACATCGGATGTCAGCTCAGGGCTGATCTTCCTCAAAAAAAAAAAGAAGAATTTTACTTAAAAACCCATGAGATCACAATGACTTGACACTCAAAAATATGTGCAAGTTTTAAGTTTTTGGAAACTTAAATTGTTACTAGTTCAGGAAATTTTATCTTAAAACACATGTTGAATTAAGACAAACAATTAATTTTTGGATACCTTTTCCTTTTCCTACTAGAAGTGGAAGACTTGTTTTCTTCACTTAAACATATCCAACATACTTTGGTAGATTCTCAGAGCCAGGAGGATATTTCACTGCTTTTACAACTTGTACAAAATAAAGATTTCCAGAATGCGTTTAAGATATACAACGCGGTCACAGTACACATGAACAAGGCCAGTCCTCCATTTCCTCTTATGTCCAACGCACAAGATCTTGCACAAGAGGTATGTATTATGAACATCTTGTTGACATATACTCGGTAGTTGTTAGTGATAGTAAGGCAGTATTGTTGGAAGATACTAATGTGAATATAAGGCTTGTTTGAATTAATTACCACTGATCACATGTTAATAATTTATGTTAGGAAAATTTGCTGCATGAATTTTATCCTAAAAAAATATATACTTAGTTTAGAGTCAGAGCTCTGTTTCATGAAAAGAAGGGAGTTTATTTTTGTATATAAAATTATATATTTGCATAGTAAGAGAAATATTTGTCTAAATTACTAAAAGGGAAAGTTTTTAAATGCTTTTAGTATAGTTTTATTTTAAGCATTATACATTATAAACTGAGGTAAATGAATCCTGATGAGACAAAATTGTATCTGATAATCAAGTATCATAAATATATAACTTCTAAGATTTGCTACTTGTAGATATTTTGCAGTTTTTCCTCTATCAAAACTGTATAGAAGGTCCAAAATAATTAAATTTTAATATACAGTGAGAGTTTTTTTTAACATGCTGACTTTTAAGTCTAGTTTCTGCTGCTTGTTTGATATTCAGTGTTTAATGTGTTCTGCAAACATCTTTTAAATTGAAGTTTTAAAAGCATATAAATAAGCCATCTCCTATTTTGGAGAGTGGACATTCTGTCATTATTATAGGGTTTTAAGTTGTTTTGATATTATAAAAACTAATAATTCTGGAAGCCCTCAAGTAAATCTGTTTCATTGAACCCAGATACAAGACAGCAAATGGGCTAGGGGGAAGGGTAGGACTTCCAGAGCTACAGATCTCTAAAATAGGTTAGGAGACACTTTTCAGATGAGCACAGAATGTATTTTCTTTATTTAGATGCCTATGATGGGCAAAGATCCTATGTGCAAGAGTAGCTGAAAGAAGTCTGGTGTTGTCCGGGATAGGAGAGTATAACCTTAGGACCTGTTCCTAGAGAGGAAATTTTCTGTCCACTAGAGCTTAAAAGACCTAGTTGAAACTTACGCCTTTTTTTTTTCCTGAGGAAGATTCATCTGAGCTAACATCTGTTGCCAATCTTCCTCTTTTTGCTTGAGGAAGATTCACCCTGAGCTAACATCTATGCCAGTCTTCCTCTTTTATATGTGGGTCGCCACCACAGCGTGGCTGCCAAGGAGTGGTGTAGGTCTGTCCCCAGGAACTGAACTGGGGCCACCAAAACGGAGTGTGCTGAACTTAACCACTAGGCTACAGGGCCGGCTCCAAAACCTATTCTTTATGCTCATTGTTTATTATTAAAATTAAATATGCAAAATTTTTTATTTAAAGAACTTCCTATAGGGGCTGGCCTGGTGGTGTAGCGGTTAAGCGTGCACACTCTGCTTCAGCAGCCCGGGATTTGCAGGTTCGGATCCCGGGCACGCACTGATGCACCGCTTGTCAAGCCATGCTGTGGTGGCGTCCCATATAAAGTAGAGTAAGATGAGCAGGGATGTTAGCCCAGGGCCAGCCTTCCTCAGAAAAAAGAGGAGGATTGGCATCGGATGTTAGCTCAGGGCTAATCTTCCTCACAAAAAAAACCCAAAAAAAACACAACTTCCTGTAGTTTTACTTGTAATAGTTTAAATGATTTTTCAGAAAATTACTTCCCTTACAGAGATTTGATCTTATTTATTCACAAATATAGCATAACTTTTATTGTGTAGGGTGGGGAGGAATACATAATAAGTAATTATAATCATTCTCTTCCCTGTCTTTAGGAGGAAGATTTGTCCAGCTAGCTACTGGGCCTTTGTTTTGTTGAATAGAACAATGGGTAGAAAAGAGAATGAGATAAGCAGGAGAGATCAGAATTGCTCCAGTTAAAGAAGAAGGTGACAGAGACAACAGAAAGAGTAGAAACAAAGGATAAAAGAGGCAACATAGCTTAAAGGGTTTTAGGAGTTGAGAGAGGCAAAGAACTAGAAGTGGCTTAAAGAGTAAATGTTTTGGGAGAGAAAGAAATGGTTGAAAAGGACTTTATAAAATTAATTTTGAATATTTTAGGATAGTTAACATATCCACCTGGTTCACAATTTTAAAAGTACCATATCAAGGAGATTTTCTGAAAGTTTGCTTTCACATCCTTACCATATCTTCAGTAATACTTGAGGATTGTATTGCTTTGGTGGTGGTGGAATATGTGGGTGATAGTGACCTTAGACTGAGACTGGTATTAAAATGAGCACAAGATAATGAACCTAGTCACGGCCACAAGGTATGGTTGTGCTGCAGTGTGAATGACTTCCCCTGGAGTCGTGCGTGCACAACTGTATGGCAGCCCTGACTTAGAGTAAATAACACTTAAGAAAAGTGCGTACTCAGAGCTCATCAAAGAAGAGTGTTAAATCTGATAACAAAATTCTAAAGGTTAAATGGACTCATTGCCTTTATTTTATAGCTGGAAAAACCTTAGCAATCACCTGAATCAACCCTTCTGTTTTATGTTTCTGAACATTTAGGCCAGGTAAAGTTGTGTGCCTGGCATAAAGCTAGGTTGCTCGTGTGCCCATTGCTTAATGTTTTGCTTTTTAGTGCGATTTTAATATGCAGTATTTAAAAGACGAAATTACCTCATGCTTCAGTTGTATCATTTTTCAATGGAAATTTAATCCGAGTAGGTAAAAAAACAACTCAAGGAATTTAGTGAAAGAACGTTAGGAAGTGTTCTTTGTTTTTATAGCTTAAAATGTAAGTTAAACATTAAATATCATATAATAGATAATAAAGCCTATAAAAACTTCAAATATTGAGATCCAGATTAAACCTTTGACAGTCTAGGATATTTATTAATAAATGCAAAACAAGTTTTTTGGTCGTTAAAGTGCTTTTATCCAGAAAAGGTTGAGAACTTGGGTTTCATTTAATAACTTTTGCTTATCCAGTAAAAAATGCAAGCCAACAGACTAGGAAATGGTATTTGATTTTTTGATTTTGAGATATTGAGGTACATATGTGTGTATGTGTGTATAAATGCATACGTATGACAAAAACTTGTATCCAAAAGAACTCTTGCAAATTAGTAAGAAAAGGTTTACACAGGTTTTAAAAAATGGGCAAAGAACTTTAACAGACACTTCACAAAAAGAGAATATCTACATGGCCAGTATACGTGAAAAAGTTTTCAGCATCATTAGCTAACAGAGAAATGCAAATTAAAACAAAATAAGGGGGCTGGGCCAGTGGCGTAGTGGTTAAGTTCACGTGCTCTGCTTTGGCAGCCTGGGGTTCCCAGGTTCGGATCCCAGGCACGCACCTACGCACTGCTCATCAAGCTATGTTGTGGCCGCATCCCACATACAAAATAGAGGAAGATGGGCACGGATGTTAGCCCAGAGCCAGTCTTCCTCACCAAAAAAAAAAAAAAAAAAAAAAAGAGATGCCACTGCGTAGACACCAGAATGACTAAAATTAAAAAAAAAAAAAGACCAGCAATACCAAATGTTGATGAACTTATGGAGCAACTGAAACTTTCATACCTTACTGGTGAAATATAAATTGGTACTACCGCTTTAGAAAATGTTTGGCAGTATCTACTAAAGCTAATGTGCCTATATACAGCAATTCTACTTCTGGGTCTGTACTTGAGAGAAATAAAAACATATCCACAAAAAGCCTTCAGCACAAATGTTCATAGCAGCTAGATAAATAGTTAGAAACTGGAAACAACCCAGATGTCCATCAACCAGTGAAAGTTGAATCAGGCTGTCACTGTGGAAGAACAATGAGTAAATAATTACAATCTAATGAGAAGAACTAGGATGGTAGTATGAGAAAGGAACCCAGAGCACAATGAGAAGTGCCTAATTGTGTGTGTGGGGGGGGGGGGCTCTTAGTGATGGGAGGAAAGAAGAAACATAGAAGAAAATTTAATTTGCCGAGTCTTAAAGGATGATTAGGAATTTACGAGGAAGCCCAAAAAAGAGGAAATCCATTCCGTTGGCAAAAGGTACAAAGACAGTAGTGACTGAGAAAGCCTGTTATATTTCTTGAATAATGGGTAAGGGATAGGATATGATCTTAAAAGATAGAGGCCAGATCCTGAAGGCCAGATAAGCCATATTAATGAATTTAAATTTATCGTATGATAGATCCACATTGGTAAATGTTTTAAAATAATTAATTTACATGAATAGATGAAAGGAGAAAACCATATGATCAACTTGTTTCAGAAAAGATGTCTGAAAAATATTCTACCTTTCCCTTGATGATGAAAATTCTTAGAAAGCCAGGCAATTTGTTAACTTGATAAAGAATAATATCAGAAACCAATAGGGAGCATCTTACCTAATGGTGAAACACCCAGCACATTGCTTTTTAAGCCTGGGTTAAGACAGAGAATCTATAGACTCTCACCACTAGTATAGAGTATTTTTCTGGAGGTACTAGCTAGTGCAATAAAACAGGAAAAAGTAATGAAATATAAAGTTGTAAGGGAACAGGGAAAATATATGAATTTGTTTCTAATTTGAATATGTTGAATTAGTTACTTTGAAGAACAAAAATCTTTGATTCATTGATACTGAACATGATACCTATTAAAATATAGATACAAGTTGTACACATGCAAACAGATATCCTATTTAAACATGCATGTAAGAGAGATTGCAAGAAATAATTATTAACAAGGCTGTCTCTGGGTGGTGGATAGATAGAGTTTGATATAAACAGGCTTCCAATATAAAGTATTATTCTGATAACATCGTGGAAGATGTGTGAGGTCAAGAATGGAGGCGTAGAGTATGGAGGCTATTGTAATTCCCGGATGTAAGATTTTGAGTAGCAGTTGAACAAGTCAAGAAATATTTAAATACAAAATTAATAGGACATATTGTCCCTATGTGGAGAATAAAGGTAAAGGAGACATCAAGGATGACTTCCTGCCCTCTTTTCCTTTTACTGAATTCATCAAACATTGAGTGCTGTTTGCCAGGAATTCTGCCAGTAGCCGGATACAAAGTTGAATAAGATACAGTTCCATCTTCAGTGAGCTCAGTCTAGTGGGGAAACAGTCCCATCAACAATTTTAGATCAAATGTGTTCAAAATTATGAGTATATGTTACCTAGGCAAATAGAATAAGGCAATTCAGGGTAGCTAGGACAGCTAGCATAATCACAGTCACTGTAGGGAGACAGCATGATGTATACAGGGAACAACAGGCAGTTTACAGCTGGACCAAAAAGTTAAGGCATGAGGATTGCCAGAGATATGGCCGGAAAAGAGGCAAGAATCAGACGATGCTAAGGGTAACACTAAGGAGCTTGGACTTGATCCTACATGTAAGTGAGAGCCAGTGAGAACTAGAATGGGTATATTTCTGTTTTAGAATTGAAAAGGATATTTAATGATATAGAAAAATAAAATAATTAGTATTAAATTGAAATAGTTAAAAAATACTGTTATAAAACAGTATAAATAGCATGTTCTCATTTTGTTCTCATTTACACTTACTTTTGGTAAAAGTAAGTTACACTTACTTTTGGTAAAAGTAAGTGTAAATTATATATACTTAGAGATTTTCTCATAGTTTTGAGGTTGTGGGTTTATTTTTTTCGTAACCATCTTAAAATGGGTGCATTTTATTGTATAGTTCAATATATTTTGACACATGTATACCCTTGTGTAATCTACCACCACAATAAAGTTAAAGAGGCATCCATGACTCCACAAAGCTCCCTCATGGCCCCTTACAGACAATAACCATCTCTCTACCACTCCCCAGGCCCTAGGCATCCACTGATCTGTTTTCTATTTTTACAAATTTGCCTTTTCTGGACATTTCATATAAATGGGCTAAGGTAATATGTAGTCTTTTGTGTCTGACTCCTTTTGCTCAGCATATTTTTCAAATTGATCCGTGTGTTACATGTAGTTTGTAACTTCCTGCCGAGTGGTATTCCATGGTATGAATATCCCACAATTTGTTTAACCATTCACCTATTGGTGGATATTTGGGTTGTTTTCTGTTTATCATTCTAGCAGATCTATAATGGTATCTCATTTTAGTTTGCATTTCCATATGTTGAGCATTTTTTCATAGGCTCTTTCCGTATCTTCTTTTGTAGAATATCTTGCCAGATCTTTTTCCCATTTTGAAAATCAGATTAAGTCTTACTGAGTTGTAAGAGTTCTTAATATATTCTAGTTACGAGCCTTTCTGTCAGATATATATCTCACGGTGAATATTGTGGTAAAAACAAGTATAAGAATACAGGAGGATATGTACCAAATGATCATCCCTAGGTTTTTGGATTATGATGACTTTTATTTCCTTCTTTTTGATCATCTATTTTCTGATTTTTCACATTTCACATATACCATTTCTGCAATTTAAAATATTTATATATAATGGAAAAGGGAGTTTGGCTCTGAAGGAAAATAGAGAAAAGCAGTGTAAATAGAGAAGAGTACAAGATCAGGAGAGAGTATTTTCTTTTTAAAGATAAGAGATTAGAGCATTTTTATAGGACAATGGAAAGGAGCCAGTACGATGTAAGAATAGCCTTCTAATTCCTTAGGCCTTTGTAGAACTAGCTCATGATGTGGGTTGACAGTAAAATAGGTAACATCCTGATTAATTGGATAATTGGGTAAGGAAATAAACACTTAACAGGAGTTCTAAATTTCTTTAGAAGGGAAAATCTCAGAAATGTTTAGGAAGTGATTTAAAAGTAAAACTAGGAAAAAATGTCTGTACCCAAAATTATTAGTGAGTTGACTTGGTAAATTTTGTACACCCATGGCACATTTTTAATCCACAATTTTCTTTCTCCCTCAGAATTCTTTGTCCAGCTATCAAAAGGTATATGATCAAGGACTATAAATTTCATTTTAAATTAACCTAGATTAGGTATATTTTAAATTAACCTAGATTAGGTATATTTTAAAAAGAAAAACACCCTGTTTTAAAAATTTTTTTAATTTAATTACCCACAGTTTTGGATTACTGCACTTGCCCAGTAGTAAGGCTTTAATGGAATTCTTGAAGAAGATAATAATTGCTATGTCATCCTATTTATACATATTTTTGTTGTTGTTACTGCCATCGAGTCATTTCCGACTCATAGCAACCGTGTGTACAGCAGAATGGAACACTGCCCGGTCTTTTTACACTATCCTGTCACCTTCCCTCACTATCTAAGACAATGCTCTGCTGCTATTCATAGGCTTTTCATGGCCAATTTCTGCAGAAATGGACGGCCGGGTCCTTCTTCCTAGTCTGTCTTAGTCTGGAAGCTCTGCTGAAGCCTGTCCACCGTGGGTGACCCTCCTGGTTTTTGAAATCCCAGTGGCACAGCTTTCAGCATCACAGCAACAGGCAGCTGCCACAGTGTGACAACTGACAGATGGGTGGTGTGGTTCCCTGACTGGGAAATGAACCCAGGCCTCAGCAGTGAGAAAGCACTGAATCGGAACTACTAGACCACCAGTTTATACATATAGAACTCTACAATTAGAAACCTGCTTTCTAGGTACCACAACCAGAGGACAGGCTGGTTTTGGTACTGTCATTGCTTTGATCCACTTGTAGTCAAATTGGTTAATCCCCAAATTAGCATCTCTTAGGTTTGATAGAGGAATTACTAATGATTTATAATAGCCATAAAAGGTACTAGAGAATTACTGGATTCCTGTTTTAATTATGAATTACTTTTATTAAAAAATTCTATTATATATGAATTCATTCTTCTATATGTTTTCGTTAATGATAATTTTGGTTTTGTTAGTGGCATTATTGCAAAGTACTCTTTTTGGTGGGCAGTTGAGCTGGTAGTAGAAAAGGGAAGAAAATCAGAGGTATTGACATTGAGAACATAGATAGTATAATCTTTGGGGGAAAGTAGTCTACAGAGCAAAATCTGTACCTTTAAATATTTATGGTAGAAGAAAAAAGACTGAAAATAAATGAAGTGACAAACAGCTCAAGTGATTAGAAATTGAAAAGGTAAATAAACTAAAGCAGAAAAAGGAATTAAATTATTTAAATGGAAAGAATAGTAGATTTAGCGTTATAAGCTGGTTCTTTGAAAAGTACAAGAAAATAAACCTTTGAGAAGTTAAATGAAAAAAATACCAATAACATTAGAACTAAAAGAAAAAAGGAGCATGAATGCAGACATGGGAGATTAAAAATTATGACATAATACAATTACAGCTGTGTGTCACTAACTGTGAAAGTAGATGGTTTTTCTAAGAAAATGTAAATTGCCAAAAATGACTTAAGATAGTCAAAAAAGTAGACCAGTAACTGTAGATAAAATTAAAAGTTGGTCAGAAATCCACCCCTAAAAAATCTACCAGGCGCAGATGATTTTATGTACAAGCTCTATCAAAACATTAAGGAACATATAATTCTTATGTTAAACACTGTTTTAACACATGAATATAGACTATTTCGCAACTCATTGTACTAGGGTAGTATAACCTAGATACTAAAACCAGAGAGTAGTTTTGTAAGGCAGTGTACAAGATTGCACTCACCAAGTACAGGCCAATCCAATTTATGAACATTAATGTAGAAATCTTAAAATATGAATAACACATCTAGAGATATACTAAAGTGATAATTTATTATGTCTTAGGTAGTGTGCTAAGCAGTTTATATGGATTATCTTGTCTTTTAAGAACCTTAAATGGTAGGTGGCATTCTACAGATAGGAAAACAAAGGCTAAAAAAATTCATCATAGGGCCGGCCCCGTGGCAAAAGCGATTAAGTGCGTGAGCTCTGCTGCGGTGGCCCGGGGTTCGCTGGTTCGGATCCCGGGCGCGCACCGATGCACTGCTTGGCAAGCCATGCTGTGGCGGCGTCCCATATAAAGTGGAGGAAGGTGGGCATGGATGTTAGTCCAGGGCCAATCTTCCTCAGCCAAAAAGAGGAGGATTGGCAGATGTTAGCTCAGGGCCGATCTTCCTCACAAAAAAAAAATTTTTTTTCATCATAATCAAATGGAATTTATCCTAGGAATGCAAGAATTGCTCAACTTCAGGAAATTTTTTAATGTAATTCACTATAGTATGGTGTTATTCCATTACTCTCATAAATTTATCTTGTTAGTCTGTAATTCTGAAGTGTCATCTCTGATTTAAAATGTGGTTACATAAATGCATGATTAAAAAACTATAAAATAGCAAGAACTGTTTTTCTTCCCTTATGTAATCTGTATTAGTCTATCTTATAATATGTTGGGAGAAACTTTTAATAGGAAATAGTTCATTCATAGGCATAAATACCAAAATCTTATCTAGTTTTTTTTTAAATAAAGAATGCTGTTGCTAACCATGATAAGATTGAAAACTGTGAGAAAAAATACATTCTTTTTTTTCTTATAATTCTTTTTAGTACTTTTCTTTCTCACAAGTAGTTTTTACGATTTTAAATTGTACCTTTTTTTTTTTGCTGAGGAAGATCGCCCTGAGCTAACAACATCTCTGCTAGTCTTGCTCTATTTTGTATGTGGGTTGCCACCATAGCATGGCTGCCGCTGAGTGGTGTAGGCCCACGCCCTGGAACTGAACCCAGGCTGCCGAAGCGGAGCGTGCCGAACTTAACCACTAGGCCACAGGGCCAGCACTCCCCCTCCCCTGTTTATTAATATCTTTATAGATGCTGGTGATATTTCCTGTAACCTAGGAAGAAGAATAATCTTTCCTTTTTTTTTTTTTGAGGAAGACTGACCCTGTGCTCACATCTGTTGCCAGTCTTCCTCCTCTTCTTTTTTTCTCACCAAAGTCCCCAGTACATAATTGTATATCCTAGTTGTAGGTCCTTCTAGTTCTTCTTCTTTGTGGGACGCTGCCTCAGCATGGCTTGATGAGTCATGAATAGGTCCACACCCAGGATCTGAACTGGTGAACCCCGGTCCGCCAAAGCAGAACGTGCAAACTTAACTGCTACACCACTGGGCCTGCCCCTGGAAGAATGATCTTTCTTTTTGTTTCTTAGGTACAAACTGTTTTGAAGCCAATCCACCAGAAGGAAGGACAAGAATTAACTGCTTTGCTGAATGCTCCACATATTCAGGTAGAAAACGGATAGAACATTATATATGGGGTTTTTTCCAGCAGTCAAAGTCTCTTTGAATCAAAGTGTCTTAGGGCTAGAAAAGACCTCAAACATTATCTAACCTGTTTTGATTGTTTACAGCTTCCACTGCAAAATAGGTATTATTGTTGGATTATATCTTTTCGTATTTAAACTTAAACACATTATTTTTTGAAACAACTTCTTATTCTTTACAAAAATTTCTCCCTTTTTTGGTTATATTTTCCATAAATTTTAATTATTTATCGTGTTGGGCCTTTAAATTGATTTTGTTTTTATAACTTTTTTTTATTGAAGGATAATTGACATACAATATCCTATTAGTTTCAGTTGTACATCCTAGTGATTTGATATTTATATACATTATGAAATGATCGCCACAATAAGTCTAGTTACCATCTGTCACCATACAAAGTTATTATAATATTGATTATGTTCCCTATGCTGTACATTATATCGCTATGATTTATTTATTTTATAACTGGAAGCTTGACCTCTTAATCCCCTTCACCTATTTTGCCTGCACCTCAACCCCTACCCCCTCTAGTAACCACCAGTTTGTTTCCTGTATCTATGAGTTTTTATGAAGTTTAATACACATTTTACTTTTTTTTTTTTTTTTTGGTGTGTAAGATTGGCTCTGAGCTAAGATCTGTTGCCAATTTCTTTTTTTTTTTTTTGTATGTGGGATGCCACCACAGCATAGCTTGATGAGTGGTGTGTAGGTCCGCACCCAGGATCCGAACCTGTGAACCCTGGGCCACGGAAGCGGAGCATGCGAACTTAACCACTGTGCCACCGGGCCAGCCCCAATAAGCATTTTAGACTTTTCATAACCCATCCCAGAGTATGCCCTGTTATACCTAACACATCTTGAGTTGTTATTAGCTATAAAAGATACAGGGTTGCATCTGTACTTCAATTGGAAAGTTTGGAAAAAGATCTGAATATAATTAAGTATAGCACTTCTTTTAAAGGTTTAATGATAGAATGCTATGTACATGATTAGGTTGAAATCTCTCTACAGAAATAAATCATGCTGTTACTTTAAATGCTTTGTATTTCTTTTGAAACAGGCACTTTTACTGGCCCATGATAAGGTTGCTGAACAGGAAATGCAGCTAGAGCCCATTACAGATGAGAGAGTTTATGAAAGCATTGGCCAGTATGGAGGAGAAACTGTAAAAATAGTTCGTATAGAAAAGGCTCGAGATATTCCATTGGTAAGTGTTCCATATCTCTGATCTGAGATCCTTTCTCCACAGGGATCTTGTGTATTGCAGATAGTTGAAGACCCCTTTACATTTCTGGTACTTTTTCTCTTTTGAGGTTAATTTGTTGGAATTCTTTTATGTTTTTGCTCATATTCCTTATTCAGTTGAGAAAAATTTGTTCATCTTTTCTCACCCATAATTTGATGAAAATTATAGCTTGTGATATAATTGTTAAGGAATAAAGACGGGATAAGTAATCTGCTGCATTATTCTCCTAGCTTTCTTTTTTAAACAATAATTAGAAATTCTGATCTTTTCATTCAATTAAATCTATTGAAACAAACAGAATTACTTATATACTTCACATATAATTAGAGAGATGCATTCCTTAATGTTAATATTTGTTTTAGAGTTTTTATATGTAAACCTTTTTCAGTTCTGTTCTTGGTCTGCTCTCATTGTCTTAATTTTCTTTCCTTTATTTTCAGAGAAATATTCTTGAATCCTGATGTCTCAAATTGTGTCTTGAATAGTGTAGTACATGAAATAGGAACTGTATGTTATGGGCAGTTAATGTAACTATCAGAAAAAAGAAATTGGGAAAGTTATGACAAAATTTTAAAATAAAAGTTTAGGAGAAAAATGTTACAAACTCTGTCTACTTTCAAGTTTTATTCTGTATTTCATATTTCCATTTTATATATACATGACTGTATATATTTCAGTTATGCTTCCAGTTTGTGTAATAAATATTAATGTTTAATACATTTTAGTGTGAATTGGATGCAGCTATAATATTAAACATTTGAATAAGTAACTATATTAGTATTCATCCCTTCATCATATTTTGAATTTTAAAAAAGGACTTTCATAGGTGTAAGTCATGTTCACTAATTATGCCTCAATATAGGATAACTATTTGAATAGCATCTGGCATATGGAGAACAAATTTGATTATAGGTCTTCACATTGTTTTTAAGCAAGTGCATTTTTCTGCTTTTGTATGCTTCAAAAGACTGCTTGATTTTAGAATTCTAGTGAATAGAATGTTTCTGAAGCAGAAAATGTTGTGGGGAAAATGGTCAGCTTTCAAACATAATTACCATGATTACTCTAGCTGTGTAAGTAAATTTTTTCTCAAGATAAATAAAGGCTAGAATTGTTGAAAAGAAAAAAATAAGAATTTAAAAATGAAGTTTAACAAAAAAATTACATTTTTATTTTTAAATTATATATTGAAATTTTTTTTAGGGTGCTACAGTTCGTAATGAAATGGATTCTGTCGTCATTAGTCGGATAGTAAAAGGAGGTGCTGCAGAGAAGAGTGGTCTGTTACATGAAGGAGATGAAGTTCTGGAGATTAATGGCATTGAAATTCGGGGGAAAGATGTCAATGAGGTTTTTGACTTGTTGGTAAGTTGATACAGGTAGAAGAATTATTGATAGGTTCTTAAAAGCTGTTTTCTTTATTATGAGACTTCAGAATAAAATATTTTAAAAGTATTTTAAAAATAATTGTTAAGAGCACTAGATAATTTCTAGCCTAATTTTCACGATATAATTGTTTCCACAGTAGTTATTAATAGAGTTTTATTTTTGGGTGGTTACCACTGATTTCTTTTGAGCTTTATTACGTATAGGTATATTTTATTTGCCTCTGAAATCACTAATATAACTCATTAATTCATTCAATAGATATTTATTGAGTGCCTACTATGTGTTAGCTGCTAGGTAAACAGTAACAAATCAAAGTCCATGCCCTTATGATTTTTATGTTCATTTTGTTTTTTTGTTATCTATAATTGATTGTTGTTTACTTAGCAGTATTAAATAATAGCAATGGTATAGTTCTGCACTGTCCAGTATAATAGCTACTAGGTACATGTGCTAGTTATTTCAATTTAAATAAGGAAAATTTTAAATTCAGTTCCTCATTCATGCTAGGTGCTTTTCAGGTGCTCAGGAGCAGTATGTAGCTAATGGCTACCATATTAAGGTGTAGGTGTAGATAATTTCCATCATTCTAGAAATTTCTGTTAGTGCTGGTATAATCAGGAAGCCATTTATAGTGAACTTTGAGGGCAGTTTATGATCAGTTTGTATATACCCACAAACTAGATTTGTATTCTTTTTTACTTAGCGTCAGTTGTTACAATAGAATCTCTTCAATATGCTGATGTCTGTTGAACAATCTAGAAAACATCCTCACATCCTTATTTTCACCCAACCCCATTCATTGCTTTGGTAGATGGTCAACAGTGATCATTTTTAGCCCTTGTTTTATTGGCTGCTATCTCTAGGTTGAGCACTGCTCCCTGCTATCTCAGGACCAGCAGTTGTGATTACTGTCTAGGCTGGAGGTATCTGAACAAGCCAGTCAGTGGTGTACTGGGAAATAATAGTGAACCTAGCAGTAAGACTCTGTGCAGTTACAAAATAGAATGGATGACAGAGACAAGGCATCCGGGAAGTGAGAATTTTTGTACATTTGCATCACTTTTCTAATCCTAGTCACAATTACTATTTCAAGTTCTGCTGTATTAAAATTAATGTGCGTCAGAGTAGATAACCCAGAATTGTAATAGCAAAGTGGTATCTTCCAATCCTTCACTGTGGAATCTTCCTAAACTTAAACTGAATGAAAGACAAAAACCCAAGACTTATGGGCTGAGTGGCTTTTCCCAGCGGACTAAAACTGCAGAATGCCGTGTTCCTGGGTAGGTCTAAGACAATGGAGTTCATGAAAGGCATAATTTGTGCTTCCTGATGAAATGGGATTCATCTCTACCAATTTTTTTTTTAAGTCTCCTAGCGGTTCCAGAATAGTCCGGTTTAGGGAATATTGATCATAAGCTCATGGAATGATTTTCATAAATACGATCTTTCTGTTACAGTCTGATATGCATGGTACTTTGACATTTGTTCTGATTCCCAGTCAACAGATCAAGCCTCCTCCTGCCAAAGAAACAGTAGTAAGTGATTTTTTATGTTCATTATTTATTGTCTGATGGCTACTGTTTACTTTTTTTTTTAATTAAGAAACTTTATATGTTAGAGTAGTTTTAGGTTCACAGCAAAACTGAGCGGAGAGTACAGAGTTCCCACATACCTCCTGCCCCTGCACATGCACAGTCTCCCCCACTATCAACATTCTGCACCAGAGTGGTGCATTTGTTACATCAATGAATTGATGGTTTCATTATTACCCAAAGTTCATAGTTTACATTAGGATTCACTTTTGGTTTTGTACATCCTGTGGGTTTTGACAAATATATAATTCATGTATCTGCCATTGTATCGTACAGAGTGGTTTCACTGCCCTAAACGTCCTCTATGCTCTGCCTATTCATCTCTTCCTCCCTCCTAACCCATGGCAGCCACTGATCTCCGTAGTTTTGCCTTTTCCAGTATGTCATATAGTTGGAGTCAGACAGTATGTAGCCTTTTCAGATTGGCTTTTTTCACTAGTGATAGGCATTTAAGTTTCCTCCATGTCTTTTCATAGCTTCATAGCTCATTCCTTTTTTAGATCTGAATAATATTCCATTGTCTGGATATAAAACAGTTTATCCACTTACTTACTGAAGGACATCTTGGTTACTTCCAAGTTTTGGAGTTATGAATAAAGGAGTTATGAATAAACATCCCTGTGCAGGTTTTCATGTGGACGTGAGTTTTCAACTCATTTGGGAAATACCAAGGAATTGAAAATTTCTGTCCGCAAAAAAACTTGTACATGGATGTTTATGTTTGAGTATCAGAAATGTAACTCTAAATATTTCTTGCATTCAAGTAAAAACAGGTCAATTCAGTAGTTTTTATTTAAATAAATATGAAATAGCAATATTTCAAATTTAGTAAACTCTGAAAAGTAAGAAGTAGAAAATACTTCTCTTTCAGAATTTTTATGACTTATAACATTGAACTTTGTCTTTTTCTGTTTTATAGGTGGGTTTATTTACTTAAACATTCTTAGTGTAGGGGAAAAGTGCTTTTACAAAAGTATGCACAACTCTTATTTTAGAATGCATGTTGCTCTTTATGTTAAACATTTATCGATAAGCTGTATTGCAAGACAGACTTTATTACCATATGACCCAGCAGTTCCACTCCTTGCCCTATACCCAAGAGGAAAACATACATGCTCACAAAAACTTGTACGGAAATGTTCATAGCAGCATTATTCATAGTAGCCAGAAAGTAGAAACAACCCAAATATCTGCCTGCTGATGAATGGAAAACGAAATATTGTATATCCATAGAATGGGATATTATTTGGTAATAAAAAGGAATAAAGTACTGATATATGCTACAACATGGATAAACCTTGAAAAAAATTATGCCAAGTGAAAGAAGCCAGTCACAAAAGGCCATGTATTGATGCATTTATATGAAATGTCCAGAATAGGTAAATCCATACGGACAGAAAGTAGATTAGTAGTTCCTTAGGTGCAGAGGTGGGGACTTAGGAGGGAATGGGAGAGATCCGTAATGAGTATGTGGTTTCCGTTTGAGGTGATAAAAATGTTCTAAAATTGTTTTTGGTTGCACAATTCTGAATTCACTAAAAACCATCCAATTGTGTACATGGGTGACTTGTATAGTATGTGAATTATATCTCAATAAAGCTGTTAAATGGTAGACTCAAAGTGCTGGATTAACATAGAAACCTGATGTATTGCATCTGTTATTATTCTTAACTTTTATAAAAGCATAACAGTTTGGAAGAGAACACAATTTCATTTTTTTATCAATATTTCATCACAGTTATGCTTTATATTTTGGCTATCATTCCACATTTTCCCTTTATTCTTTATAGAACATACTGAAGTTGATGATGCATCTGCAGCCTTCCTTCTGTTGAAAGTTCTTTGTAGGAAGAGAAATGAGGAAATCATTTGTCTCTGAATTCTAACAGCCTGATTCTCTGTGCACTATGCCTTTCCACATCTCTGTCCTCTGGACAAGCTCTGAACTTCAGAAGTAGCTCTGCAATCTGAGGAGACACAAGGGAGGAAGGTTGGAGGGGCTGGCCAGGTGGTGCAGCGGTTAAGTGCGCACGCTCCGATGCAGCAGCCCGGGGTTCAGATCCCAGGCGCGCACTGACACACTGCTTGTCAAGCCATGCTGTGGCGATGTCCCATATAAAGTGGAGGAAGATGGGCACGGATGTTAGTCCAGGGCCAGTCTTCCTCAGCAAAAAGAGGAGATTGGTGACAGATGTTAGCTCAGGGCTAATCTTTCTCACAAAAAAAAAACAGAGAGGAGGGTTGGAATATGCTACAATACAATTAAAATCATATGGAGGGAAGAAATAGAACATTTGAGCTGAAGGCACTTTTTTCATTTAGTCAAATGCCCTGATCTAACAGAGAGTAAATTGAAATGTAGGGGGATCACGCTGCTTATTAGTGATAGAATATGCACTGGAAAAGTTAAAGATTGATTGTCCAATAAGTGTTAGTTGTTGTTATGATTACTTACTCTGTGCTAGGCACAGTACTAATCGTTTTATATGTTTCATCTTTAGCCCTCACAGCATCCCTATGAAGTATAGATATCTTTTTTATTCCCATTTAACAGGCATTGAAACTAGAACTTAGAAAGGTCAAGTTAATTGCCCAAGCCCACTATTGGTAAGTGTGTGAGTCAGGACTAGAACCCACACTTATTTCAGAACCTAAGCTCTTTTTTGTGTGTGTGTGAGAAAGATCAGCTCTGAGCTAACATCAATGCCAATTCTCCTCTTTTTGTTGAGGAAGACTGGCCCTGGGCTAACATCTGTGCCCATCTTCCTCTACTTTATATGAGATGCCGCCACAGCGTGGCCTGACAAGCAGTGCATCGGTGCGCGCCCGGGATCCGAACCCGGGCCGCCAGCAGCAGAGCACGCCCACTTAACCACTATGCCACGGGGCCAGCCCCAGAACCTAAGCTCTTAACTGCTGTGTAGTATAACTGTGTAGTATAATGTCCCACAAAGCCACTAAATATTAGAAGATTTCTGCATTACTGTTTATCATCAGTCCAAACAAAATAATTAGAATACCACGATAGGAAATTTTAACTATAGATGAATCAACCTCTTAGTAGCTATGTATATGATAGTAAGTCTGGATTCTGAGCACAATAAGAGCGTATTATGAGACTTTAGTATTTGAAATTGCTGTAAAGTCTCTTTTGCCTATAGGAGACTTAATGGCTCTAATAAAACTGGGAGCATGACTAAAGTCTATTGATTTGTGGGGCCTGGGCTGGGACGATAGGAGAGAGATGTGGTTTAAGGGGAACTCAAAGGCTGGGGCTGCGAGGATGCTAAAATCACAGTTCAGGGATACAAACCATAGAATTAGCCACTAGCCCAGTGGTATTAATAATTGAAATATATTTTTAGAGGTCCCAAGTAATTTTTTTTTCTTATAATGAATATCTTTTGGATCCCTTTTGTGTACTAGGCACTATATTAAGCACTGGGTTTATACTAATGAACATAACATAAACCACTTATAGCTTGTGGTAAGTGGAAGATAGGAATAAGCAGAATGTGAACATTGAGAATATTGAGAATAAAAAGAGGCGGGATTAATTATATAAGGTTGTCAGGAAAGGCCTCTCGGAGGAGGCATCATGAAACTGAGACCTGTAGGATGAGGATGAAGCCAGACCTGTTGATTGCCAGAAGAGCTTTCTGGTATAATTTCTAGAGAACTTTGTATTTAGAAAGCCTATGGGGGTGGAGCAAAGTGGAGGAGTAGAAAGGTGGGGAGGGGATTATAAGAGATAAGGCTAGAGAGGTAGGTAGGCCAGATCAAGTGGGTCTCTTTGGCCATGGCAGGGAGGTTGGACTGTAAATACAGTAACATGATCTGATTTATATTTTAAAAACACTTCTGGCTGATGTGTGGAAATTGGAATTAGTAGGAGCCAATAATGGAAGCAAAGAGATAGGAAACTGTTGCTGAAGTCATTATACAGTATGATGATGGCTTAAACTTGGGTGATAGCAGTGGCAATGGAGAAAATGAATCAGGCTATGTTCTGGAAGTAGAAGTGACAGGACCTTGTAATGAATGTGGAGGATAAAGGAAAGGGAGGAAGCAAGGATGCTTAACAACTGAGTGGATGGTGGTGCTGCTTACTAAAGGGAAATCTGGAGAAAAAGCAGATTTAGGGAGAAAATTAAGAGGTCCATTTTACAGGTTTGAGATACCTAAGGGGCATTCAGGTGGAGATACTGAGTACATAGAATTGAATATATCAGCCTGGAATTCTAAGGAGAGATATTGGCTATAATTGTATTTATTGTGGGCAGAGCAGGTCAGGGAAGCCGTCTGTTTATATGTACTTCATGTATTTGCAAAAAATTTTACAGATTTTAAAAAATGATTGTTTAAGGTTGTTCACTGGGTTGGAAGGAAAAGTTGAGAACCACTGCTGTCAAATGTTTTTACTTTCCTGTTAGAGGTATAAAATGTATTATATTTTTTTCATCTTAATTTTTTCTCATTTAGAAGAAGATCTGGAATTTTATAATGCAGTAGTATTTTTTTGAGTATATATTTTATCAGAAGATGCAAAAAATATAGAAAATTTCAACGTATATTAAATGGACATGCCTTTTCAAGTGAGAGCAGTTTCCCTGTTAAGTTTGCTGTTACCCTGAGGTTCATATTTCTCTCTGCCTACTACTTAACATGAATTGGATGTCCCACAGATGCCCTAAACTTCTCATGTAAAAAATGGAAGAGAACAAATAATAAAGATATTCCTTCTTGAGTGGGTGTCGGGGAGGAAGAATCTCAGGGTTAGGGGAAGAAATTTGAAAACTGTTGCTTGATGCTGCAAAGGCTTTTCTCGATGCTGCCCTTAATTTTATAATCTGCTTTAAAGTTTAGGCCTAAGATAAAGGAAGATACACTTTCACTATTTTCTCTTCCACAAGTAATTTTAAAAGTTAAAGATAACTCTATTAGAAGAAATACGGAAATAAAAATTACAAAGAAAAACTGTTTTGGAGCATTGACTCCTTTAGAAAAGAGGTACATAAACTGATGAATCATTATCCCTTTACCATATCCCCATCATTAGGACTTCAAATGTGAATAGCTTACAGGTACTTAAAAAAAAGGCAAAGAGAAAAATGTTGGCCTGGAAGATAATTGTGTCTAAACAGCTCTATAATTTGAAATTTAAACAGAAGATTTTGTTTGGTTTAGAAACCAAACACTTTTGATCAGATACACTGTACTGATATTACAGCGTTGTTTAACCCTGGAGCGTTCCTATAGGGGTCAGCATCTCTCCTTCATTTAAGAAGAGCTCTGTTTTCCTTTTCCTGGGAAACAAAATAAATTAGCCACTAACAGAGCCTGGAGAGGAAAGATCAGTGGAGATAACTTCTAGAACTGATAAGAATTGTTCAGTGGAATATGTAGGTAGAAGTCACATAGTGCATGTCAAGGCAATGCTCAGACTAACTCAGTCAAATGGTTAATTTCTCTTATGTGAAATAAACTTTGCTCTTAATTTTAGGGTACATTTTAAACAGCACTAGATAAACTTGTCATGTAAGCAAAGCATATCCTCTGTACTCCTCTTCCCAGCCTACACAAAGATTGTCTCATTCCAAACTGGCTAAGTCCAAATAGTCAAGGGGTGAGACCTAGGCGAGACTAGAGAGAAAAGCATCTCTGGGTGATTTTGTTGGCCTCTGGCAAAGGTCATTGACCTAGATACAGCCTCCTCACTGGCCTATTCAGTTTCCCTCAGGGTAGTAGTTCCCTAAGATTTTAGGGTACATTTTAAACAGAATGTATGTAACAGTTATGCAAGGAACCTAATTAAAATGCAGAGTCTGAAAGCCTGAGATGTGGCATAAGAATTCAGTATTTTAATAAACATCCCAGGCAGGTGATCTGAGCAAAACACTTTGAAAACAACATGCTGAGTATTGCTTTCAGAAAGTGATTTGATAAAATCATCAATCAGGCTAACAAGTAGTCAGATTTCGTAGATCTCTGAAAAGCCTGATAACAAAAATGATCTCGCCACCACCTTAAATGATGCCTATAATTCCATATTTAGATTTCCAAGATTTTTTGGCAGAAAGCAACAATTTAAACAGATTTTAGAAGCATTGTTGATTGACAGGGATGGTACGCAAGCAGAGGTTTTTTTGATCATCCTACATATTAGAGACTTCCCATGGCAAGACTATAAAATTGTATGTATAATCTTCTTACCCAGTCTCTCAACTGTGTTTTGATTTCCTGCTACCTTGCATAACTTTCTAAAATTCCTTTTTGGTTTTAACTGACAGAATCTTCAAGGTTTTAATCAAAACTCGGTTTTCACATCAAGAGTCTCTTTAGGACACTCTGTAGTTAGAATTCAGCAAAACACTGTCAAGTTGAGTGAAGTATCTTAACCATATTTAATCTAAGAGTGTGTACTGTGTGATTCCATTTATATGAAGTAAAATACAGGGGAAACTAATCTATGCTTCTAGGAATCAGGGTGATGTTTACCCTTGGAGGGCATAGGGTGGTTAGTGACTGACAGGGACATGAAGTGGGGCTTCTGAGGTGCTGGTGATATTCTGGTTCTTGATTTGGGTGCTGGTTACACAGGTGTGTTTCATTTGTGAAAATTCATTGAGCTATACACTTATGATTTTGTGTACTATTTGTTGAAAAGTTACCCCCAAAAAAGCAGACTAGCATTTAAGTTCTGCATTTTTAACTGGATCACTTGCTTTACCTCAGTGTTGCCATTTGTATATTGGGACTTAGATTTCCTATTTACATTAGTTAGTAAAATATTTTTCTGAAATTAAAAAAAATCTATCTAATGAGACCCTCAGCAAAATTTCTGAAAGAGGCTATTGCTTTCATCAGGATTCTTGGTTATTATGCTTTATAATGGAGATATATATATATATATATATATATATATTACTTAGAAAGTATTTTATCAAATTGCATATTATGGTGAGGGTAGAAGGCTTAGTGAAAGCCAAATAACAGTTGGATAGAAAAGGACTCAGAATTATACAATTCTTGCTGTCAGTCAACTCCTTGGCTCATTGAGCCCAAACCTGAAATCTAACCTGTGTGCGGCAGAAACACTCATTGCGTATAGGTGTTGGATTTCATTAGATGAAAGTGGGCTTCTTACAGATTTTGGGAATGCCACATGCCACTTGCCCATGTTGGGTAAAAATTATAGATGAAGAAGTTAAAGAGAATATTAATTCCTTTATATCTTCTTAGAAGTAAGAATACTGGCCAGCCTGTGGCATAGCGGTTAAGTGCGCGTGCTCCGCTGCTGGCGGCCCGGGGTTCAGATCCCGGGTGCTCACTGACACAGCGCTTGTCAGGCCATGCTGTGGTGACATCCCACATAAAGTGGAGGAAGATAGGCACGGACGTTAGCCCAGGGCCAGTCTTCCTCAGCAAAAAATACAAAAGAGGAGGATTGGCATGGATGTTAGCTTAGGGCTGATCTTCTGCCCCCCCCCCCCCAAAAAAAGTAAGAATACTTTGTTATATCTTACAGAGGTATATTGGAGGAAACAGCATAGGAAATAACTTAGCTTTCAGTAAGGTTCATGTGAATTCTTACCTACCTTTAATGCTAAAACCATTAACAACAAAAACACATTGTTAGCAAAAATTTTAACTTGTACCACTGGTAATATTTCAAAGCCTACATATAGAACACAATAGGAATTGATTATAAACTTGATTTAGATAATCTTAGCATTTTGGGGTGTGATTATTTATGAACCTGAACATAATCCTTTAGAAGAAACACTGAGAGAGATTAAGACGTGATCGCACTGACAGTGTGGTCAGGAAGGAGTGACGGCACCAGGGAAACTGACACTCACCTGCTTAGATGACAGATGTGGTGAGGTTTCAAGTCTACCTTTCCTTGTAGTAGTGGTTTAGAAATTACATACTTTATTGCAGAGTCATTGTTTTAACCAGTCAAGAATGGAGGGTGGGGGGTGTATGGGTCTCAACTACATTCTTTCTGCTTCTCTCAAGTCTTTGAGGCTCCTTCGCACCTCAGCAGCTAACAGTACAGTGTTTTGCATACTTTTGTATGTGTTTGCAGTCAACAGAGATGAACTTCACTGAAGAAAACAGATGAGCCTGAGAAAATACTGCCCCCAAAATACTGTTACTTAACTAAACCTCCCTTCTTTCAACTCATAATTTCTTTGCACTAATGAAAAATTGTAACATTTTAATTATATTTATGCTAAATATTTTGTGTTGCCATTTTATCGGTATTATTGTTTTATTTTTACACTTTTTATCTTTTAGATCCATGTAAAAGCTCATTTTGACTATGATCCCTCAGATGACCCTTATGTTCCATGTCGAGAGTTAGGTCTGTCCTTTCAAAAAGGGGATATACTTCATGTGATCAGTCAAGAAGATCCAAATTGGTGGCAAGCCTACAGGGAAGGGGATGAAGATAATCAGCCTCTAGCTGGGCTCGTTCCAGGTAAGAGTCAATATAGTAGAAAGTACTTAGTTAAAAGAACATTTAAAATGCAAGCCTTTGCAGAGAAAAAACTCACTGTTTCATGCCTTTTAAAAAATTAGGTAGTTACATTGTACCATAAGTAACTTGAATGTAAATGTGATGAATGTGTTGGGCTTTAGAATGGAATTATGATATAACCTCATAACCACTCTCATGTTGTGCTACATTTACTGTAGGCACATTAAGACGTTATCAAGGCAACAAAACTTGGATTGAACAACAGAAGCAACAAGGCAACAAATACTGTAACAGGCAATTATCATCAATTGGGGCATCAAACTTGATTTCTTAAGTAGGAATTTGTTAAGATGTATCACTTTGTAAGGAATCAGGAGAGTAATACCACTGACTTTATCACTCCTAAGGTACCTTAGGGTGAAATAGGATGCCCCAAATTTTTTATTGAAGAAAACTGTCTCTAATTTAGACTAAACTAAAACTTTAGCTCACGTTGGACATTAAGGTTATTAAGGGAACATGTTTCTTAGAAAGAGTGAAGATGATACTTAATAGAACAAAGTGTACAGATGTAATAAGTTTTCCTACAAATTGTTGCTTCAGTTCCCAGGATGGGGGTAAGGTGGAGCGAGAGAAAGAGAACCAAGGGAAGTATAATAAGATATTACAGAAGGCAAAGGAATACTTAGAGTATGATGAAATGGGAATAGGGTAAAGTGATGATAATTCAGTTTATTCATTCACTAAATATTGTTATATCTGCACTGTATAAGGCACCTTGCTTAGTACTGAAATAAGCTTCTCTTCCATACTTTAAAGCATATCTGTTACTACCTTAATTATACATTAATATAAAACAATATGTTTTTTTCTTTTCTGTCCCCTACTGTATCATACTTCCATGGTATTGTTTCTGTGTACCTCTATTATAGTACTTTCTACCTTATAGTCTCAGTTTGTAAACTTCTTGAGGCCAGTAACTGCATCTTATTTATTGTTTTAAATTTAGGCAATATCTGTTAAATTAATAAATAAAACATGATTTTAGAATATAGTTCTGCCAGAACTGGTGCTTCTGAATTAGACCTTCTAAGGCTTTTCTGTAATATTTTTCTAGCTATCTTTTGCCTATAACTTTTTTTAGGGATCATCCCTCCTACTCAAACCTTAAGATCTTAAGCATAATAGATTTGGCTATAGAATTTGGCTTACATTGGATTTGACTACAAGTAATGGGTTTAGGAGAAAGGAGGAAAAGGAGAGCATGAAGACAATACTAAAAAATGTTAACTATTAGATATGTAGTATGTAGATATGTAGAATAGACGAAATTGTCCAAAGACTCCGGAACAGTTTATAAGGGCTCCTTTCTAACTCTGGAACTAAACCAAGGAGATTTTCTGAGTGACAAGAGATTTCAACATAATATTTACATTTGTTCTTTATGTGTATAATAAGGTCCCAGAAAGCCACAAATCATCTGCTTTAAAACCCAAAAGCTGGAAACAAATTTTATCTGTACTCAGTCATATTTCAAAGAAGGAGGATTGGGCTTCTCATAATAAGTTTCGAGGATGATGCCACACTCTTGATTCTTCAGAGTAACAACTACAGGACATTCCTCTAGAATCCTGGACTGTTGGGCAGCCATCATGGTTCTCCTTAATGCTTGTGCGAAATATTGATCTGTTATCTTCTCACCATGCCACCTTTAGCCCATGAATACTTAAAACTAGTGTTTATTGACTGATTGATTGCATTGAGTTTCTGGAAGTATTTAGATGAATCAAGGAGATTTCAGTGATATCATTTGTAGGTCTTTTTTTATAGGACAAATAAATGAACCCACCTTAGTGTGAGTTTGATGATGGTTTTCTGTTAGAATTAGAAGGATTTTTAAGAGGTCATAATGTCCGTCTCCCATTAATTCTGCTTCTATTTCAAAAATAGTCTATATATGTGCACACTATAAAAATGTGCCATGGAAGGTACATCACTGTAATGTTTTTAAACATTATAATATGTAAATTATTTAGTTATTTTGTTCCTTATTTTTTTCTAAATCTGTTAAAGTCAAATACTTATTTTTAAATTTTAATGCTCTTAAAATGTTCCATCTAGTCATAGTTACTTGTTTTACTAGGAGCGCAATCTGTACAGCTCCTGGAGATAACCTGGTTTCCTTTAATGCTTCTTAAGTGTATCAAACTCAATATTAATGTTTTTGCTTGTGCTCTTATGAAATGCCCTAAGTTTACAAATTATCCCAACATAGTGGAATTTGCTTATTGATTTTTAAGAATCCCTGGCTTGAGGGGCCGCCCCATGGCTTAGTGGTTAAGTGCACGCGCTCCGCTACTGGAGGCCCAAGTTCGGATCCCGGGCGCGCACCGACACACCACTTCTCCGGCCGTGCTGAGGCTGCGTCCCCCATACAGCAACTAGAAGGATGTACAACTATGACATACAACTATCTGCTGGGGCTTTGGGGGGGGGGCGGGAAGAATCCCTGGCTTGAAATGGAAAAATTAAATATGAAAGTAGAACTCTAATCTGTAACTTTCTGAGTAAAACCACTTTTACCCTTGAGAAAAAATACATTTGATTTTAAGGTAGATATCTGAAAAGAAAGATGAAGGTCAGAAACCTTGAAAGCTTCCTATATTAAAATCTTAATCCTGAGAGGAAAAACATATGTTTTTCATTTATTTGTATCATTGGTAGCTTAAAGGTGGAAATAAAAAATCATTGATACATCTACATACATATGTATATACACACATACAAAGAAGAAGAGGGATGAGAGTAGTAAATGCAAGGGAATATGTTGAGTGGTGTCGGAATCAAAAAGTGATGAATGTTCACGTGTTATTTTGGAAAGTTAACTTGTAGAATTAATTTGCTTGATTTGAGATAATTCTAAATGATCAGAACCATTGTAAGATCCAGCATAGTACTTTCCACATAGTAAATGCTCAATGAAAGCTTAGTAAAAATTTAACTATTAAGTTTTCTAACACCGGCTTATTATTTATCTTTTCTAATAGTTGATATATATTCTAGTAATACATGTCCTAGAGTTGGTTGAGAGTGAGGTTGAAACTTAATACTTTAAACATTTGGAGGCTTATAATCATAGCTGACATACTCCCATGTGGTGGCAGAAGGATTTAGGAGGGAATATCAATGAAGAGTTACTTCTGGTGTTTTCCCTTGATTAAAAAAAATACTTCTATCCTTTTCTCTTAAATATTTTATTCTTTTTCCTTTCTGCTATTTAGGGAAAAGCTTTCAGCAGCAAAGGGAAGCCATGAAGCAAACCATAGAAGAAGATAAGGAGCCAGAAAAATCAGGTTGGACACTTATATTTGACATTAATGAGAGATTTCTTGGGTCTCCCTTGGGAACCATGTTTAAATTAACTTATCAGTTAGAACTGTCAAGAAACATGTAATCATGGCAAGAGGGATGTGAGAGGCAAAAATGATTATTTTAGGACTGTAAAGAAAGGGCAGGATTTAAGTATTAAAGATTGTCTATGATGTGAGATTAATGGAAAATTGTAAATACTTCCCTGTAAAATAGTTCTTCTATGAACAATGTAATAAATGTTTATAAATTTAAATTAAAAACTGTTTGAGTTCTTCAGTTTGAAATATGTAGCTTTGTTCAAGGAAACAAATACCACATTTATAGTTATGTTTATGATTGTTCAACAGGAAAACTGTGGTGTGCAAAGAAGAATAAAAAGAAGAGGAAAAAGGTTTTGTATAATGCCAATAAAAATGATGGTAAGTTCCACTCTCAGATATAGCTGGATTATATCTGAAAGCGGTCCATATCTAACACTTAAAAGAAATTAAACTGATATTTTCAGGGAGTTTTATTTCTAGTCCTGTTTTGCCTCTTAATGTAACATATTTGCTTAAGAAAGTTATTTGGTAGAAATTATTTTCTTTTGGAATCCTATGAGTAATGCAGTGTTTTGAATTCTGAGAAAAACTGGTATAAATATTAAAGTGGGATTTAGTAGATATAGTGTTATATTGATAGTTTCCTCTAATTTTTTTCCTACTTCAGCTTTTTATTTGCAACATTGATACATGCTTCTAACAAATTCTAACAATATAGCTGTATTTTAAGTAAAAAAATGAATATTTTTGTCTACAATAACTCATGTCACTGAGGCAGCTCGTTCCACAGAGCCTGCTACCTGCTGGCTGAGTCAGGCACACAGGAGAATTTTTTTTTTATTTTAATTTATTGCTAAGATTAAAAATTTCTTAAGTTGTAGCTTCTCTTAAAATCAAAAACTCTAACAACACTGGGCTCATATTCCCAAGTGACAGTAGTCTGCTTGACTTGAGTGATGGCTGTTGCCTTTATATTGGGCACCCACTGTCTCAGTTCAGCAGTCTTCACCACATTCTACTTTTGCAGATCCAACCTGATTTACTGCTTTCATTACTTTCTTGGTTGGTCCTTATGGGCATTAGAATTTGCTACCCCTGCTTTGGTTCGTGTTAGAAACAAGCCAAATAATAAAGCAAAGGCACTCTGTAACTTCTTATACCATTTATAAGGCTTATTATTCTCTTAATACCTTGAAATTTCTTTTAGGCAGCATAAATTAAACTAATGAAAATAAAATGTAGATTATTTTAAAATTCCATATAAAATCTGAGATTCGATCTACTTTAATAAAAAATTTCCAAAATAAGCATCCTTACTGCTAATTGATAGTGTAACTAAAAATATTATTGAATTTTTAATCCTTTCCTTTCTACTTGGATAAATGTTTAATATCTCTGTTTTTCATCTTTTGAAACACACTAAAATTAACTGGTTCAGCTCTGATAGCTATTATACTATAGAAAATTTGCAAATCTGAAGTCTACAGGTAAATAAACTAAGTGTAAATCAAAATGCTGCCACAGTCTGATCATACCTGTTAGAAGAAGGAACTCAGATTTTTCAAAGGGAAAAAGCATTTTGAGAAGGGAAGGAATTACATTTCCGTTCATAATGGTGTCATCATAATATTTTTATTAATAACTATCATTTTTAATAACTGTTCTGTTTCAGGGGCAGTCACTGTATGCTTTAGATACTTTCATTCATTTAGTTCTCACAATAAAACCTTGAGATTACAAATTAATAAATTCAAGTTCAGTTATTAAATGACCTGCTTAAGTTCTTACAGCTAATATATGGTGGAGCTGGAATTTAAACAGATATAGTGGGGCCGGCCCCGTGGCTTAGCGGTTAAGTGCGCGCGCTCCGCTGCTGGCGGCCCGGGTTCGGATCCCGGGCGCGCACCGACGCTACCGCTTCTCCGACCATGCTGAGGCCGCGTCCCACATACAGCAACTAGAGGGATGTGCAGCTATGACATGCAACTATCTACTGGGGCTTTGGGGGAAAAAATAAATAAATAAATAAAATTATTAAAAAAAAAATAAAATAAACAAATATAGTTTGAGTTCCTGCTCTGTGCTCTGTGCTAAGCACTGGCAAGACTAAGATGGTCCCTGGCCCCCATAGAACTTATAGCTGAGAGAGTCTGACTACACATCTGATGCTCTCTCCCCATCAGGTCAAGTAGTGTAAGTGAGAAGATGGCAGGCTGCTAGTTGTCTGCCTTTATTCTTACCACATGACACCTCTGATTTCATCCGGATTATGGGCTTTAGGAATGTTACCCTGCCTGTCATAATTTATACATCTTCTCGAATCGTGACCTCAGGCTGGTGTTAGTATTCCAGAATAAAGTAACCATGAATGCAGAAAGTGTGAATAGCACAGATATGACCTGTTTTCAAGTTATATAATCACAGAACAGTATTCCAGCTTTCTCTTATAACACTAGTCTATGCCAGGGATTGTGTTCAGTGTATACATTATGTCTGATCCTTAAACCAATTCTCTAAGTAAAGTATTAGTATCCCCATTTTACAAACATGACAGATATTATTCTCATTAGTTTATCCCCCAGTGCCTTACCTTCTGTCAAAGTATTGGCTGCAAATAGCTATTTTACATAAGAATAGGTATAGTTATATTGTAATAAACATTCAAAAACATTATGAAGCAAGAGAAGCAATAAACATTTCTAGAAGGATTAATATATTGTCTTTTTTGATAGTATCCTGGCAAAAATATAATGGCATGGGAAAAGACTTATGATATAATACTACCCAGTTATTACTATCTTGATCCAAAAAGTTAAGCATTTTTAATGATAATAAATTGTGCTTCTTTCCATTTGTTTTGAAAGATCTATGAGTATATCTTTATTACATGGCATTAATTCTGTCTGAAGGGCTTAACTTTTTCTTTTTCAAAGATTATGACAATGAAGAGATCTTAACATATGAGGAAATGTCACTTTATCATCAGCCAGCAAATAGGAAAAGACCTATCATTTTGATTGGTCCACAGAACTGTGGCCAGAATGAATTGCGTCAGAGGCTTATGAACAAAGAAAAAGACCGCTTTGCATCTGCAGTTCCTCGTAAGTTTGGATGCATTCCCATTTTCCTTTGCTTTTCAGTTTACCACCTTAGAACCTAACTGCGTAGGGAAAGTTTTCATCCATTTCATCAAAACGGTGTTATCCATGAAAGAGGAACTTTGCTTTAACTAAATCTTTTGAGAATTTGTTACTAAAGATAGTCATTCTTGAGAAGTTGCAAGTGTTCCTAAAGATATAGTACTAATTATTTTCTAAATGAATTTCAGTTTGGGTTTCTTACAATTTCCTGTTCAATATGGAATCAGCTCCTGATTTTTTAAACTGATGCAGAAGATAGAAATTTAGACCTAACCTCTTCACACAGAGGTTCTTTTTAAATATTATATAGTACCTAATCTTATGGAAATAAACTTTAGGAAAAGATGAGTGGTAGTGTTTTAAATGCAAGATGAAGTATTTTAAAGTGTAAGCATAAAATGTATTAAGGTAATTAAATGTAACTATTATTAAGATATTAAAAACACATTTTTGTTCATTTCTCAATCTAGAGGTAAAATCAGTCAATGTTAAACACATGAGCTCTTAACACTTCCTCGATTCATTATTTTATAATCTGTCTTACAAAATTAAAATTTTTTCTGCCTAGCAGAATTATCCCCCATCCTTACTCTGATCCATGCGCATTATTTTTACCTGATTTTGTTTGCCTAGATACAACTCGGAGTAGGCGAGACCACGAAGTAGCAGGTAGAGATTACCACTTTGTTTCACGGCAAGCATTCGAGGCAGACATAGCAGCTGGGAAGTTTATTGAGCATGGTGAATTTGAGAAAAATTTGTATGGAACCAGCATAGATTCTGTACGGCAAGTGATCAACTCTGGCAAAATATGTCTTTTAAGTCTTCGTACACAGGTAAGTTTATTTTGGTTTAGGGTGTTGAACTGGAGTGGATTTTTTGCAAAGTCATTTAGTGGAAACTGTATTTTGGTCCAAGAACCACAGGACCCAGTTAAGTTCTCATATAGTTTTTTACCATTGATTCTCTATGTGAAATCAGACAGGTTGCTACATCTCTTTCAGTTTCTTCAGAGGGAAAAATACATACATGCCTACATATTCACATGCATATATTTTCTGAAACTTAAAATACAGTAACTATAGTACTGGTAGTACATTAAGTATTTTAGAGATTATAAAAGAATTTCCCTTTTCTGATTCTGTTCTGAGAAAAATTAGAATATTTAGAGGTCACTTTTATGGTTTTAAATGCCATAGTTCAAGTGTTAGCAAGTATCATAATGAATGCTTGGTTTTATCTAAATATTATGAAACTTCTGTTGGTTTCTGTTATTTGGCAGACTAAGTAAAAACTTTAAAAATTACTAACAGTTGCTTCTTAGATTTCCATTAAAAAAATAAAATAATTTTAGAAATTTGGAGTGTTTATGATTTTGTTTGTTGTGGAAAATTCTTTTCTTTTTCTAGACTTCACAGCATCAGCATAAGACTTTCCTTAATGTGAGCAAATGTACTGCATATGTCAACTCAGGAAGCATAGGCAGCGGTCATTAAAGAGGTGTAAGTGAAAGAGAATTGACTCTCAAGTGGCTATTCTGAAATAGTAATTAGGTTTTCTTCGTTTTTTAGTGGACAAAAGAGCTTAGTCTCTACTATTTTAATTATAAACATTTGATTCAAGAGAAGTATAAATGTTTTTGCTAACCTTCTTCAGAATTCTTTATATTATTTGGGCTAACAGATTTACCAAATAACCAAGAGTAGTTAAACATATTGTCTTAATTAGTAATGTTTTTAGATAGAAAAGGGCATGTCCCTATAATCCCCATTTTGGTAGAGTGCTTCAATTTAGGGACACATGGTCATGTAGTAGCAAAGGCAAGGTGAAAACCACAGTCTCCTAATTCAAACAGAGTCTGCTTTTTCTTGGATGTGCTTTTCCAGATTTTTCTTTTGTATGTGTGTGTGAAGTTTTTCTCTGAGTCTGCTTGTATTAGACCCTGGCACATAGTAAGGTGACTGCTGATTTCTAATTCCTCCAAAATGGATTTTTAATATGGTTATTATAATTTGTATGTGATCTTATTAGCAGGTTATTTTAGCATCACATAGTTGTAATCCTTCAATGTCATTTATTTTTATTTTATTACCTAAAAAGAGCAAGCCAAGGGGCTGGCCTGGTGGCATAGTGGTTAAATTCACACACTCAGCTTCAGCGGCCCAGGATTCACAGGTTCAGATCCCGGGTGCAGACCTA